TTTGGGCTTTCCCCAAGATGTAATTAAGCCAAAAGAATACTTTCCTTTAGTAGTTGGTCTTGACCCTAGAACAAAACATTCTTTTGATTCTATAATACTTTGGTAGCTTATGTGGGTGTTCTTTTGTGGATATCTGGTTTAAAGTGTCGCGATCCGATCTTGTTCGGACGTACACCTTTGACATGTCGCATGAATTTTACCTCACATAAGCTCTTTAGGCCCTTTTTCAAATTTTTTTTGCTTAGTCTTAATCTTATTCCCATCTTTTCTTATCCCTCCTCTACTCTCAGTTGTTCATACAATTCAAGTAAGAGGGTTTGTTGAAAAAGGAAATCCTAAGGTAATGACTAGGTAGGCTGAGGACTATGAGTTACAAAAACAACATCACTTAGACTTTTCTTACCATAAGAATTATTTTAAGAGTATAAAAATTACATTTTTATTATTAATATTCATCATGTTTTAAAACATATTTTAAAACTAGTGCATCTATAACTTAAGAACACATATAAGGTCAAATCGCTTAAAACTTTTGCATGCATAAAATTGCATTTAGTTGCACTTATTAGTATTTATGAATCCTTAGGATGGGGTGAGGATCAATGACGCCATCAAAAACATACATCATCTTTAGACACACTATTGCACACACTTAAATTTTGTGTTAGGATTTCAAGATGCTTGCAAGAATATGTTAGGGTGTAGTTAGGTTTTCCATATGCATCAGCTATTGTTGATGGTTTTGTGTTGCCTTTATGTGTTTACCAAGTTTGTGGCTTATGCACTAGCAGATTAAGTCGTTCTTCTTGCATGGAACCATTTCCAACTAGGAGGGATTGTAGTGATTTTATTTAACACGGTTTCTGCATGTGCTTCTTAGCCTTCCTCTTACCTGATATGGTTCGTTATACATTGCAAGTATATAATCTTTGATAAACTCTATTTTGCAGGTTGAATCTTTAATTTTGGACTTTTCCAAACAGCGTGCCATCGGCAATGAGTAGTTTGTTCATGTCTCATACCTTAATTGAATTTTTATTCTTGTATAGAATTAGGAGTAAGTGTGAATAAATGAAGTATGACTGCATTTTTCTTTTTTTGAGGATATATTGCCGACCAGTGACATCAACCTTTTATCACTTATATATATGGCTTATTTACTTTGCAAAGTGTTGACAATTACTCTTTCTTATGACTGTAGTTTGTTTGGGATGCTCTTTGCATATGTTATGTAGGCTCTTTAAGGATATAAAAAAAGTTTTTATAAATGCCTAATAATAAAGTATTGTGCTTAAACAAAATTTAGGATTAAATATATATCATTTTAAAATGAGTTTTTGTTTTTTAATTTTTATTTTCCTATGTGACCTTTGGGTCGATTTTAAATTGTCTTACATAACACAAATATATCTCAAGTCATACTATAGAGCCTTCATATTAGGCTTTTTTAGAAAACTACATCATATTTACAGGTTCTGAGGAGAATCCCTTATGTTTTCTTCAATCTGGCTGGTCAAGCATACTATTTTTGTTTAGGTGATTCTCTAGCACAACTAGAGTGTTAGAGGCTCCCTGACACATATGTGGTGTGTGTCCTTTGTGGGATGATTTTTTGCATTATAGTTGTACCTCTCTTTACCCTGCATTCCAGAGGCATCCTCACAGCTTTTTCAGTTGGCATAAGTCCTACTTCGACCAATTTTACTTGTAGAGGGTCATAGGGGTTAAAGATTTCTTTTCTTTGATCTTAGAGCTATTGATGTCTCCGTAGACAACGTAACACGTGGGATATTGACAAGAGGCCTCTGATCAGGTCGGGTCGACTACCTTCATGGCCAGGGAGACTTAGGTTTTTAATACATTAGTATGACATATCCGTGGAATCTTGACCCCGCTATCTCTACCCGATTAGGACTCAATACCTTTTCTCTTGGTACACCTCCTTTGAGCCCTTTCTACCCCTTTGATACCCCATTGATGTCGTCTCGTAGGTCACGATTATCGACAAGCCATAACTTGTTTGGGATATGGTGATTGACTCTCTGCTCTATGGCCTGATTTGGCCTTAAAGCATAGTGTAGACCCTATTGAGACGATTCAACTATTCTTTTGACACTCATTTAACTAGTTATCACAAAATGTAAGTAGGACCTTTGTTATGAGAGTATCTTGGGTTCCTCAAAGATGTAATTAACAAAATAGATACATTACTTGAGAGTTACTCTCGATCCTAGAACAAAGAATATTTTTTTGGTTCTCTAATTATGGGTTGCTTATGTAGGGATTCTCTTCGTGGATAATGTGTTTCAAGTTATTTTGATAAGGTCTTGTTCTAAACATACACTCTTGGCCTATCACATGAAGTTTATCCTACATACGTTCTTCATGATTAAATTTGAAAATTTGCTCGTCTGGTGTATTCGTCTTATTTCCTTACTATTCGATCCATCCTTTTTTCAGAATCGTTTCGACGGTTTAAGAAAGAAAGCTATTTGGAAAAGAGAATCATAAGACAAGAATTAAACAAACTAGTGACTCTAAACCCTAAAAAAGAACAAAAAACAGTCATTAATTTAAATCTAAATCCTCTCCAATATCAAGCCTAGGCCTAACTCTCAACTTGAGCCCATATTTCATATAAAAAAAATTGGGGTCTTTTTATAACATTATTGAGTGACAATTCCATAAGTATAGAAAAATTTACAAAACACTCATGAGTGATCTATATAAATTCATTTTATTATAAATTATTCTTCCAATGTTTAAGTAACATCCTTGTATGATTTTGTACTTATTGTATTTCATTCATCAAAATGCTCAATTCGAATACATTGCATGCAAGATTTGAAGATTGCTCGACTTTTTAGTTAATATTTTGAATAATGTAACCATTTTTATTTTGGCTTATTCTAACTCAAATCAAACAACTCAAGGCGTTGTGGATGAGCGTCATACAACATGAAATATGTATTTATTCTCTTGTCTTAATGTATTAAAAGGAATACAGATGGAGAGAAAAAATGTTGGGGCTCTCTTTTTCCACAAAAAAAAACTCGCTCTCTCTCTCTCTCTTTATCTCTCAGGTCTTGTTCTAAACATACACTCTTGGCCTATCACCTGAAGTTTATCTTACATACGTTCTTCATGATTAAATTTGAAAATTTGTTCGTCTGGTGTATTCGTCTTATTTCCTTACTATTCGATCCATCCTTTTTTCAGAATCGTTTCGACGGTTTAAGAAAGAAAGCTATTTGGAAAAGAGAATCATAAGACAAGAATTAAACAAACTAGTGACTCTAAACCCTAAAAAAGAACAAAAAACAGTCATTAATTTAAATCTAAATCCTCTCCAATATCAAGCCTAGGCCTAACTCTCAACTTGAGCCCATATTTCATATAAAAAAAATTGGGGTCTTTTTATAACATTATTGAGTGACAATTCCATAAGTATAGAAAAATTTACAAAACACTCATGAGTGATCTATATAAATTCATTTTATTATAAATTATTCTTCCAATGTTTAAGTAACATCCTTGTATGATTTTGTACTTATTGTATTTCATTCATCAAAATGCTCAATTCGAATACATTGCATGCAAGATTTGAAGATTGCTCGACTTTTTAGTTAATATTTTGAATAATGTAACCATTTTTATTTTGGCTTATTCTAACTCAAATCAAACAATTCAAGGCGTTGTGGATGAGCGTCATACAACATGAAAGTATGTATTTATTTTCTTGTCTTAATGTATTAAAAGGAATACAGATGGAAAGAAAAAGTTGGGGCTCTCTTTTTCCACAAAAAAAAAAACTCGCTCTCTCTCTCTCACTCTCTCTATCTCTTGCTCTAAAAGAAAACATTGCAATTCGAGAAACCTC